GACCTCCTCCTCCTCCTTGACCTCCTCCTCTTCTCCTCCTCCTCCTCGTCTTCCTCCTCCTCCTCCGCCTCCTCCTCCTCCTCCTCCTTCTCCTCCTCCTCGTCCTCCTCCTCCTCGAGCCCCCTCCTCCTCCTCCTCCTCGTCGTCCTCCTCCTCCTCCTCCTGCTCCTCCTCCGTTTATGGCGCAATGCTACCCGCACTGGTGTTGGAATTTTCCCGAAGCCTTCCCCGAAAACATAACCCTGAGGATCGCCCACGCGACAAAAGACTGGGACCACGTGAGGTGAGAACCGAAGTGCATGCCCAAAACAACTGTACAACGTGGAACGGAATCGGATACCGTGAAGCAAATGCATCGACGAACCCAGGATAAAGAGGATGGGTCGGGCGAAGATGGCTGGACGACCGCAGGCCAGGTCGTATCCGAACCCATAGTTGTGAGGAGGTGTAAAACGGAACTGGGGGGACCAGTTCAGATCAGGGCATCCTTGGGCCCTGAGTTGCGAGAGCGTGCGAGGAGAAGCTGGAAGGGATCTCTCGCGTGCCTCGAAACCTACGACTGCGAGAACGTCTGAAGCCACAACGCCTGGACCGCCTCAGACCAGCGGCGCGGCATCTCGAAGCCCGAAATTGCAGGGATGTCCCAGGCCAGACCGCACCTCAGGGACCAAACAGAACGATGCTGGCAACGCCAACACCGACCCAGATAATTTCTCGCATGGGCCTCCTAGCTCATAATCCCCCCCCCGCCTTCTGGGCAGGAAATGGTCCATCGCGATTCCTTGTCCAACGCCAGTTTTTCCCTTCGGGGAAAAAGCCCCCTCTTCTTCTTGCTAATGTTTGCCACCTCGCCCATTCTTCAAAGCGCTAGCCCAAGTCACTGCCCCCCGCGGCTTCCCCCTTGGAGTTCCGAAATACGATGCGATCCGTCAGAACCGTGATCATCGAAATATCGTGGTCCTGTAGATCCGCCACCGTGCCTCTGGGCACGGAATGGGCGTGCCCTCAGGTTCGTACCATCACCCTCTCAAATGCAGTCCGTACTCTTGAGGAGTCGTTCGGAATCCTAAACCCCACATCGCGCAATCTTATCATGGGGGGCTTCTCGCGGTCTCTTGCGTGACTGTTTCGGAGCGATGGGAACCTCCAAACAGGCCAGCAAGGCCCATACAGAACCCAAGACGGCCCCAAACGTCCCGACTGCTCGAAGATCGCGCCAAGACGCCCTACGCGGCGTCCAGATGGCCCAAGAGGCCCCCAAGATGTCCCAAGAAGCCTCGAATCTGCCTCCCAACACGACCTGAAGAGGCACAATACATTGATTTGCCTTCGTTGTTTCGAAGATTCTGGCGTTCCCGAGGTCCCGAAATGCCACCCCGGCACTGCCCAAGAGGCCGCCCAGAGAACCCCATGACGGCCCCAAAAGTGGCCCAAGAGAAGGAACACAATCCCAAAAATCGTAGCGCTCCGCCCCACGGAACTCCCAGGAGGCCCCAGGAGGCACCCGAGAGGCCCCAAAAGGCTACAAGAACCCCCCAAAGAACCCTACAACGACCCCACGAGGCGCCAAAACTGCCCCCAAAAGGAGTCCGAGATGCAACAGAGAATCTGGAGACTCATCTGAACCGGAAAAGCACCCCGACAACAAACGAGTCAAACATTCGTCGCTCAATTGGGGTCGGCGGCAGAGGCGGCAGCCTTTAGATGACTACGGATGATGATCATGATGATGAAGATGATGATCATGATGATCATGCTGATGAACATGATGATCATGATGATGATGCTGATGCTGATGGTGGTGATGACGATGGCGATGGCGATGGCGATGGCGATGGCGATGACGATGACGATGATGATGCTGATGCTGATGCTGATGCTGATGCTGATGCTGATGATGATGATGATGATGATGATGATGATGATGATGATGATGATGATGATGCCGATGATGATAATATGACGGGGACGGCACGGCACGCTACAGCACGCGGGCGGCAACGTTTCGCATTCCAATTCGTAAGCACTACACGGCACGCACGACAAATGGGAACGGCACGGCACGATACGGCACACACAGCACGGCACGTGGGCACGGCACCGCACGACACCTGGACGGCATGCCAGACCCTAAGCACGGCACGGCACGGCGCGCGGGCACGGCACGGCACACGGCACACGGGCACGGCACGGCACGTTGGCGGCATCGTTTTCGCACTCTCAAGCCCTGCGCGCGGCACGGCACGACACGGCACGGCACGCATGACACGTGGGCGCGGCACGGCACGGCACGCGGGCGGCACACCTTCCGCCCTGCAGGAAGGAGGCACTACACAGCACGGCACGCGTGTGTGGCACGCGGGCACGGCCCATTGGCACGGCACGGCACGCGTGCGGCAACTTCCTCGCACTCCAGAACCTAGGCAAGGCACAACACAGAATGTACGGCGAGCGGACACGACACGGCCCTTTTTTGCATTCCGGATAGTACACTGGCAAAGAGACCCCAAGCACCAAGGCTGCATGTTACGACATATGTTCGGAACGGAACGGCAAGACAACGCAACGGTACTGCGCGGCACGCGACCACAGAAAGGCACGGTGCCGGCAAGTTTGACGCAGTCCAGAACCTAGTCACGGCACTGCACGCGGCATCGCTATGCATTTGGAACTTTTATATCGTCTACCTTCCCAGAAGTGAGACCCCTTGCAGCTTTCGCTGCTCGGGCAGCAAATGACGGCACGGCACACGAGCACGCCACGAGACACGGGCGGTCCCCTTTTCGTACTTGAGAGACTGAGCACGGTTCGGCACGATGCCACGGCAAGGCACGGCACGGCGCGGGCAGAGTCTGTCGCACTCTGGACGAAACGACTACCTTCTCAACAGCAGAATTCGCACCCCTTACAGCACTCGCTTTTCATATATACACCAACACAGTGCTATACCTAGATGGTCTTAGATCTGTTCTAAGGAACTGGGCCCCGGTGTCGGATCCACCGCCTTGTCGTCGCCGTCACTACCCAGTCGCCACCTCGTCGCCACCTGTCGCCTGGGTCCCGTTATTGGGTCCGCCGCCTTGTTGTCGCCGTCACTACCCCGTCGCCACCTCGTCGCCACCCGTCGTCTGGGCCCCAGTGTCGGATCCGCCGCCTTGTTGTCGCCGTCGCCGCCCCGTCGCCGCCTCGTCGCCGCGCGTCGTCTGGGCCCCGGTGACGGGTCCGCCGCCTCGTTGTCGCCGTCGCCGCCCTGCCATGACCTCGTCGCCACACGTCGTCTGGGCTCCGTTGTTGTCGCCGTCGCCGCCCCGTCGCCGCCTCGTCGCCGCCCGTCGTCTGGGCCCCCTTGTCGGATCCGCCGCCTTGTTGTCGCCGTCGCCGCCCCGTCGCCACCTCGTTGCCGCGAGTCGTCTGGGCCCCGGTGTCGGGTCCGCCGCCTTGTTGTCGCCATCGCCGCCCTGTCGCCACCGTCTGGGCCCCGGTGCCGGATCCGCCGCCTTGTTGTCGCCTTCGTCGCCCCGTCGCCGCTTCGTCGCCGTCCATGGTCTGGACCCCAATATCGGGTCCGCTGCCTGATTGTCGCCGCCGCCGCCCTGTCGCTGCCTCTTCGCAGCCCGTCGTCTGAGCCCTGGTGCCAGTCCGCCGCCTTAGTGTCGCCGTCGCCGCCCCGTCGCCGGCCCGTCGCCGTCCGTCGTCTGGGCGTTCCCTGGCTTTGCAATGCGGTGCGCTGCTCTGCTGTGCGTTACTTTGTTGCTTCCTTACACTGCTTAGCAATAGTTTGCATTGTTGTGCGCTGTTTTTCGCTGCTTTGCCTTGTGCCACATTGTGCAATAGTGCTTTGCATTGCTCTGCATTGTGTTGCATTGTGTTGCATTGCTTTGCATAGTCTCGCATTCCTTCACAGTGCTCTACACCACATAGATTGAACCAGATATACTGCACCACCTCAATTGCCCCAGCTAGTTAGTGCCGCGTCGGTTAAAAAGAAACACTGTTACCTCCCGCTCTCGTCCCTTCTCTTGTTCATTGGCCCAGCACCAAACACCAAAGTTGCGAGGCCGCTCCCGGCCCCCACACAGCGGCGGGCGCAGCGGCGCCGCAGAAGCAAGGACAGGCAAAGCAAATATACAGGTGGGTGGGCGGGACAAACAGTCGCACCGTATACCCAAGAACAACAGCAGGCAGGCGGCATGCGCGCGCGCGGCAGAGACGCGGGGAGGGGAGGCGGGGAGTCTAACTTTGCTTCGCCTCCATGAGTCCGAGTTTGGGATCCACGCTGCCTAACATCTGGTTGACAGGAAAACCCCGAACAACATTCACTATTTAGGAGGATGCGTCGATTGGCGGGCGTATGGCATCATCGGAGGTTGGGGGGTGAGATCGAAGTGGGACGGAGAGCCCCCCGACAGGGAAATCGATTTCGGTTTCGTGTTCGTGCGTGCCGTGCGGGCGAGGCGAAGCTGCGTGGGCGGGCGAGAGGAAAGTCTCCTGTGGCTGAGGCGCGGCCGGACCAAATGATTATCCGCCGGGCGGCCGGTGGCGCGCGGTGTCCCGCCGGTGTCCCGCCGGTGTCCCGTCGGTGCCCCGTCGGTGTCCCGATGATGATGTTGATGATGATTATGATGATGAGTATGATGATGATGGTAATGATGATGATGAGATGATGTTGATGATGGCGACGATGATGATGATGTTGATGCTGATGACGTCGATAGTGATATCGATTGCGAGATCGGTAGTGAGACCGAATGAGACAGCGGATGAGGTCTTCTCTCAGGTTGTCCTCCACCACGCACAGCGTTGCGCCGCTTCCGGGGCCGATCCACGGTGCAATGTCGCGCCGCACCGAGGCCCCTGAAGGACGTAGAGAAGGCCCCCGTATCTTGATTATTGTTTCTGGAGAGCCCTGCTCGCGTTCGGGCCCCTGCCATATGAGTAGGGGCAGAGCAAGAGGTAGATCGAAGCTTTCCGCTTAGCGGGGTTCGGCTCAAGCAGGGTACCTCGTCCTTGCCGCGCCACTCCCGCACTCGTTTTGATCCGCCCGTTGCAGAGTCTACGAGCCGTTCCAGCGAGTGAGCGACCTTTGCTGTTGGCAAATCAGTGGCCAGGACTGCGTCTTCGGAGTCGTCGCTGCCGACGGCGATTGATTATATCGACGCAGACGTGCTATTAGTGCTCATGCAGCTGTTCCAGCGGGCACGGGCTGCGCCAGGCTTTGCCAGCACAGGGCCTTTGCCAGAGGGCAGGGGCTTTGCTGTAGTGCTATTAGGGGGCACGGGCTTTGCTGCAGTGCACGAGCTTTGCCAGCGCACGGGCTTTCCCAGCGCACGGGGTTTGTTGTAGTGCTATTAGGGGGACACGGTGTATGCCAGGCTTTGCCAGCGCTTCGGTATTCTCTGACTGCATGAGGCACGCTTTCGCTGGGCTTCCAGCCGTTTGCGCTGTTTGAGCAGGGGAAAAAGAGCTATGATGGCGGTACATCGGTCTCGACCGCCGAAGGGCAGCCGTTGAGCAATATTTTGAAGCGATTCAGTCAGTGGCGACAAGAGGGGCTTCAGCAGGCCTCCGACAAAAAAAACTCCACTGGCATCGTCAGGAAAACAATCACCACTGTTGCCCATTGCTCGGCCCCTCCACCCCCCCCAACCTCCTTATCACCCGTAGGGTGGTCGTATAGGTATGCTTGTATAACACTTTCTCACGTCGGGATGATGTTGGGAGCACAACCAGCCAGCACGTGAATGCCGAGAGGGAGGAAAGGATGGAAGGAGAAGACTGAGCAGAAAGGGAGGGAGGAAGGGGGATCAGGAGGAAAAGGATCAAGAATTGAAAGGGGAGGAAGATGACAATAGGGAGGAGCATGGGGAAGGGAAGGAGGAAGAGGCGGAGAACGAGAAGAGGACCAGGAGGGGTAGTAGGAGGAACAGGGTGGGAGAATGGAACAGAATAAGAGTAAGAGGAGAATGAGGGGGAAGAGGCGGAGGAAGGGGAATAAATCTGAGAGGAAGACGATGAGGCGGAGGGAACCCGGAGAGGACGAGGAGGAGGAAGAGCGGAAGGATGGGGCAAGGGGAGCAGCAGGAGCAGTCGGAGCAGGAAGAGGATCATTCAACATAGGTGCTGTCAGAAGGAAACAGCGTCTGACGGGGGAAGAGGGATACAGGAGGGATGAAAATGAAAGGAGGAAGAAGAAGAAGGGGGAGGTGGAAGAGGAGGGGGAGGATGAGGAAGAGGAAGAAGAGGGAAGGAGGAGGTTTCAATTAAGATGCTGCCATGAGAAAGAGACCGAGGAGGATACTGAGGAGGGAGGGGAACATGGAGGGGGGGAACATTTCAACCAATGCGCTGTCCGGAGGAGGCGGCTGAAGTGGAAAGCGAGAGAGGCGATGAGAGAGGGAGGAGAAAGAGGATGCGGATGAGGATGACGAGGAGGAAGATGGGGATGCGTAGAAGGGGGAGAGGGAAGGGGAGTAAGAGCAAGATGATGATGGTGTTGATGATGATACTGATACTGATGATGATGATGATGATGATGTTGATGCTGATGATGATGATGATGATGATGATGATGATGATGATGATGATGATGATGATGATGATGATGATGATGATGATGTATTTGTTGCTGGCGGCCACGTGGTACGCGGCCTGAGCCGCCGTCTGGCATCGTGGAGTCGGTGCTGGACGGACACGGCGGCAAGCGACACGGCCGTGCGAGACCTTTACGAGAATCCGACGCTCGGTCTCGTAGCGCCCGGACAAACACACACACACACACACACACACACCAGGGCACCCCAGATCCCGGCGCACCTACGAACCTGCGGCCTACGGCAAGCACTCCTTGTATGGCCTAGGCGAGCCAGCTTATTGGAAAATACCAGTGGCTACGCCTCCACCTCCTCCTCCTCCTCCTCCTCCTCCTCCTCCCTCTCCTCTCCTTGCACCTCCTACAACTCCCACACACATCCAGCTCCCTCACCCCTCCTCATCACTCCGAGTGGGTCCAAAAATGATGGCACCCGTCCACAGGATGCACTCACTTCTTCTTGCCACCGGCACCACCCTCCTCCTTGCGCTCGCAGGAGATGACCTTGCCGAGCATCACAACACCGTTGCCGTCCATGAAAGCCACGCGCGACAGGCCCTCGCAGTTCTTGAAGGTGTCGCACACGAGCGGCTGCTGCGGCTGGAAGCTGCACTGAGCCATCTCGTTGGACTTGAGGGAGTGGGGATCCTCCATTTTCTTGCCGCCCGTCTCCTTACCCATCTTCCACTTCAGCTTGCTGATGCGGCACGCCGCGCGCCCGCAGCGCACGAAGCCGATCGGGGAGTAGCCGACCTTGATCTCGTTGGGGATGTCCAGCACCTGGATCTGCGCGTCGAACTCCTTCGTCTGACCCAGGGTCGTGTCCTTCTTGTACACCATCACGTCGCCCGAACGGGGCATGTTGTTCTTGTCCAGGCCCTTGATGTTGAGGCCCACGTTGTCACCAGGGTTGGCGAAGTCGACGCGCTGGTGGTGCATCTCCACGGTGAACACCTTGCCCGTGCACGGGTTCGAAGCGGTGTGCGTGGGCAAGAACACGACCTCCTCGCCTGGCTTCACGACGCCCTGCTCCACACGCCCGGCGAGCACATCGCCGACACCCTTGATCTTGTAGATGCCGGAGATCGGCATGCGCATTGGGGCGCTGGTGGGCCTCTCTGGTACGCGGCACATGACGTCAAGCACGTCGTACACGGTGTCCACGTGGATGGTCTCCTTGCCGTACTCGACGTCGCAGCCCTTCCACCAGCCCATGTTGTCGGACTTCTTCAGCAGGTTGTCGCCCATCCAGCCAGAGATAGGCATTACAGGCGTACCCTTCTCGACGAAGTCCTTCTTCCACCCGACCTTGACCAGCATGCTCTTCATCTCGTTGGCGATCTCGTCGTAGCGGGACTGCTTGTATCCAGCAGTGTCGCAGTCCATCTTGTTGACGCCAATGCAGATCTGCTTCACGCCAAGAAGATTGATCAGGCGGGAGTGCTGGCGAGTCTGCCCCTGGATCTCGCCGGCCTTGTGGTTGCCTTTGGCGATGGCGGTCGTGAAGTTACCGTCGGCCGGGACCATGATGAGCGCAACGTCCGCCTGGGAAGCCCCCGTGATCATGTTCTTGATGAAGTCGCGATGGCCTGGGGCGTCGATGACGGTGTAGTGCCACTTCTCGGTGTAGAACTCCTTGGTGGTGCAAGCGATGGTCACGCCGCGCTCGCGCTCTTCCTTCTGGCGGTCCATGTAGAACGCGAAGGCGAAGGAGCCCTTGCCCAGGCGCTCGGCCTCCGCCTTCAGCTTCTCGAGCTCGCGCTCGGGCAGCCCGCCCAGCTCGAAGATGAGGCGGCCCGTGGTGGTGCTCTTGCCACTGTCGACGTGGCCGCAGATCACGATGGACAGGTGCTCCTTCTCGGAGTTGGCCGGCATGGCTGGCCGACTGAGTGCACCACTGCTCTCGACGGGGTGGGCCGAGATGCGCCCTTGGCCCGGCCTGACCAAAACTAACGATGTGCGCCAGACCGGCTGCGGACAGGATGATGACGATGGTGATGGTGATGGTGATGGTGATGGTGATGGTGATGGTGATGATGGTGGTGATGATGATAGTGGTGATGATGATGATCATGTTGTCGATGATCAAGATCATGATGATGGTGCTGATGATTATGGTGATGGTAAATGATGAGGCTGATGGTAATGGTGATGAATATGATGATGATGAACATGATGATGCTACGGGTGATGATGATGCTGACCGTGATGACACTGATGATGGTGATGATGATGCTGATGCTGATGATGATAATGATTATGGTAAGGACGGCGTTACTGACAATGAACATGCAAATGCAAATGGTGATGAAGATTATAATGATGATAAAGATGATGACCATGATGACGAAGATGATGATCATGATGATGAAGTAGATGATGTGTGCCAGAACGGCTACGGACAGGATGATGACGATGGTGATGATGATTGTGATGGTGGTGATGCTGATGATGATCATGTTGCTGACGATCATGATCATGATGATGGTGATGATGAAGACGCTGATGATGACAGCTATGATGATGATGGTGATGATGATGCCAATGATGACAAGGATGGTGAATATGATGATGAGTATGATAATGAAACAAGTAATAATAAAGCTAATCGTGATAACACTGATGATGATGATTATGATAGTGCTGATGATGATGGTGATGATGATGGTGGTGATGATGCTGATGATGACTAAGATGATAATGATGGTGAAGACAATGAAAATTAGGATAAGTAGGATGATACGGGTGATGATGATGATGCTGATCGTGCTGACACCGATGATGGTAATCATGATGCTGATAATGATAATGATTATAATAAGGACGGTGGTACTGACAATGAAACATGAATGCTAATGATGCCCTGACACGATGATGACAATGATGATCATGATGATGAACGGTGATCATGATGATAATGATGTTGCTGGTGGAGATGATGGTAATCATGATGATGATGGTGATGATGATTCCGCTGATGATAACGACGATGATGATAATGTGATGGGGACGGCACGGCACGCACGACAAGTGGGAACGGCACGGCACGCGGCACCTCGTTCTCCTTCCAAAGATCTAGGCACGGCGCGACACGGCACACACAGCACGGCACGCGGGCACGGCACCGCACGACACTTGCACGGCATGCCAAACCCTGAGCACGGCACGGCACGGCACGCGGGCACGGCACGGCACACGGGCACGGGCACGGGCACGCTGGCGGCATCGTTTTCGCACTCTCAGGCCTGCGCGCGGCACGGCACGACACGGCACGGTGCGCACGACACGTGGGCACGGCACGGCACGGCACGCGGGCGGCACACCTTCCGCCCTGCAGGAAGGAGGTACTGCACAGCACGGCACGCGTCGCATGGCACGCGGGCACGGCACAGTGGCACGGCACGGCACGCGTGCGGCAACTTCCTCGCACTCCAGAACCTAGGCAAGGCACAACACAGAATGTACGGCGAGCGGGCACGGCACGGCCCTCTTTCGCATTCCGGATATTACACTGGCAAAGAGACCCTAAGCACCAAGGCTGCATGATACGACATATGTTCGGAACGGAACGGCAAGACAACGCAACGGTACTGCGCGGCACGCGACCACAGAAAGGCACGGTGCCGGCAAATTTGACGCAGTCCAGAACCTAGTCACGGCACCGCACGCGGCAACGCTACGCATTTGGACCTTTTATATCGCCTACCTTCCCAGAAGCGAGACCCCATGCAGCTTTCGCTGCTCGGGCAGCAAATGACGGCACGGCACACGAGCACGCCACGAGACACGGGCGGTCCCCTTTTCGCACTTGAGAGACTGAGCACGGTTCGGCACGGAGCCACGGCACGGCACGGCACGGCGCGGGCAGAGTCTGTCGCACTCTAGACGAAACGACTGCCTTCTCAACGGCAGAATTCGCACCCCTTGCAGCACTCGCTGTTCATATATGCACCAACACAGTGCTATACCTAGATGGTCTTAGATCTGTTCTAAGGAACTGGGCCCCGGTGTCGGATCCACCGCCTTGTTGTTGCCGTCACTACCCCGTCGCCACCTCGTCGCCACCCGTCGTCTGGGCCCCGTTATTGGGTCCGCCGCCTTGTTGTCGCCGTCGCCGCCCCGTCGCCGCCTCGTCACCACCCGTCGTCTGGGCCCCAGTGTCGGATCCGCCGCCTTGTTGTCGCCGTCGCCGCCCCGTCGCCGCCTCGTCGCCGCGCGTGGTCTGGGCCCCGGTGACGGGTCCGCCGCCTCGTTGTCGCCGTCGCCGCCCTGCCATGACCTTGTCGCCACACGTCGTCTGGGCTCCGTTGTTGGGTCCGCCGCCTTGTTGTCGCCGTCGCCACCCCGTCGCCGCCTCGTCGCCGCCCGTCGTCTGGGCCCCCTTGTCGGATCCGCCTGGTTGTCGCCGTCGCCACCCCGTCGCCACCTCGTCGCCGCCCGTCGTCTGGGCCCGGTGTCGGATCCGCCGCCTTGTTGTCGCCGTCGCCGCCCTGTCGCCACCGTCTGGGCCCCAGTGCCGGTCCGCCGCCTTGTTGTCGCCTTCGCTGCCCCGTCGCCGCTTCGTCGCCGTCCATGGTCTGGACCCCAATATCGGGTCCGCTGCCTGATTGTCGCCGCCGCCGCCCTGTCGCTGCCTCTTCGCAGCCCGTCGTCTGGGCCCTGGTGCCAGTCCGCCCCGTCGCCGGCCCGGCGCCGTCCGTTGTCTGGGAGTTCCCTGGCTCTGCAATGCGGTGCGCTGCATTGCTGTGCGTTACTTTGTTGCTTCCTTACACTGCTTAGCAATAGTTTGCATTGTTGTGCGCTGTTTTTCGCTGCTTTGCCTTGTGCCACATTGTGCAATAGTGCTTTGCATTGCTCTGCATTGTGTTGCATTATTTTGCATAGTCTCGCATTCCTTCACAGTGCTCTACACCACATAGATTGAACCAAATAGATTGCACCACCTCAATTGCACCAGATCGATTGCACCAGCTAGTTAGTACCGCATCGGTTGACAAGAAACACTGCTACCTCCCGCTCTCGTCCTCTCTCTTGTTCATTGACACAACACCAAACACCAAAGTTGCGAAGCCGCTCCCGGCCCCCACACAGCGGCGGGCGCAGCGGCGCCGCAGAAGCAAGGATAGGCAAAGCAAATATGCAGGTGGGTGGGCGGGACAAGCAGTCGCACCGTAGACCCAAGAACAGCAGGCAGGCGGCATGCGCGCGCGGCAGAGGCGCGAGGAGGGGAGGCGGGGAGTCTAACTTTGCTTCACCTCCATGAGTCCGAGTTTGGGATCCACGCTGCCTAACATCTGGTTGAAAGGAAAACCCCGAACAGCATTCACTGTTTAGGAAAATGCGTCGATTGGGTGGCGTATGGCATCATATGCTTGTATAACAAATTCTCACGTCGGGATGATGTTGGGAGCACAACCAGCCAGCACGTGAATGCCGAGAGGGAGGAAGGGATGGAAGGAGAAGACTGAGCAGAAAGGGAGGGAGGAAGGGGGATCAGGAGGAAAAGGATCAATAATTGAAGGGGGAGGAAGATGACAATAGGGAGGAGCATGGGGAAGGGAAGGAGGAGGAGGCGGAGAACGAGAAGAGGACCAGGAGGGGTAGTAGGAGGAACAGGGAGGGAGAATGGAACAGAAGAAGAGTAAGAGGAGGACGAGGGGGAAGAGGCGGAGGAAGGAGAAGAAATCTGAGAGGAAGACGATGAGGCGGAGGGAACCCGGAGAGGACGAGGAGGAGGAGGAGGAGGAGGAGCGGAAGGATGGGGCAAGGGGAGCAGCAGGAGCAGTCGGAGCAGGAAGAGGATCATTCAACATAGGTGCTGTCAGAAGGAAACAGCGTCTGACGGGGAAGAGGGATACAGGAGGGATGAAAATGAAAGGAGGAAGAAGAAGGGGGAGGTGGAAGAGGAGGGGGAGGATGAGGAAGAGGAAGAAGAGGATAATGGGGAGGATTAAAAGAAGGAAAAGATGGGGAGGAGGAGGTTTCAATCAAGATGCTGCAATGAGAAAGAGACCGAGGAGGATACTGAGGAGGGAGGGGAACATGGAGGGGGGGAACATTTCAACCAATGCGCTGTCCGGAGGAGGCGGCTGAAGTGGAAAGCGAGAGAGGCGATGAGAGAGGGAGGAGAAAGAGGATGCGGATGAGGATGACGAGGAGGAAGATGGGGATGCGTAGAAGGTGGAGAGGGAAGGGGAGAAAGAGCAAGATGATGATGATGATGATGATGATGATGATGATGATGATGATGATGATGATGATGATGATGATGATGATGATGATGATACTGATGATGATGATGATGATGATGATGCTGATGCTGATGCTGATGCTGATGCTGATGCTGATGCTGCTGATGCTGATGCTGATGCTGATGCTGATGATGATGATGATGATGATGATGATGATGATGATGATGATGATGATGATGTATTTTGTTGCTGGCGGCCACGTGGTACGCGGCCTGAGCCGCCGTCTGGCATCGTGGAGTCGGTGCTGGACGGACACGGCGGCAAGCGACACGGCCGTGCGAGACCTTTACGAGAATCCGACGCTCGGTCTCGTAGCGCCCGGACAAACACACACACACACACACACACACACACACCAGGACACTCCAAATCCCGGCGCACCTACGAACCTGCGGCCTACGGAAGCACTCCTTGTATGGCCTAGGCGAGCCAGCTTATTGGAAAATACCAGTGGCTACGCCTCCACCTCCTCCTCCTCCTCCTCCTCCTCCTCCCTCTCCTCTCCTTGCACCTCCTACAACTCCCACACACATCCAGCTCCCTCACCCCTCCTCGTCACTCCGAGTGGGTCCAAAAATGACGGCACCCGTCCACAGGATGCACTCACTTCTTCTTGCCACCGGCACCACCCTCCTCCTTGCGCTCGCAGGAGATGACCTTGCCGAGCATCACAACACCGTTGCCGTCCATGAAAGCCACGCGCGACAGGCCCTCGCAGTTCTTGAAGGTGTCGCACACGAGCGGCTGCTGCGGCTGGAAGCTGCACTGAGCCATCTCGTTGGACTTGAGGGAGTGGGGATCCTCCATTTTCTTGCCGCCCGTCTCCTTACCCATCTTCCACTTCAGCTTGCTGATGCGGCACGCCGCGCGCCCGCAGCGCACGAAGCCGATCGGGGAGTAGCCGACCTTGATCTCGTTGGGGATGTCCAGCACCTGGATCTGCGCGTCGAACTCCTTCGTCTGACCCAGGGTGGTGTCCTTCTTGTACACCATCACGTCGCCCGAGCGGGGCATGTTGTTCTTGTCCAGGCCCTTGATGTTGAGGCCCACGTTGTCACCAGGGTTGGCGAAGTCGACGCGCTGGTGGTGCATCTCCACGGTGAACACCTTGCCCGTGCAAGGGTTCGAAGCGGTGTGCGTGGGCAAGAACACGACCTCCTCGCCTGGCTTCACCACGCCCTGCTCCACACGCCCGGCGAGCACATCGCCGACACCCTTGATCTTGTAGATGCCGGAGATCGGCATGCGCATTGGGGCGCTGGTGGGCCTCTCTGGTACGCGGCACATGACGTCAAGCACGTCGTACACGGTGTCCACGTGGATGGTCTCCTTGCCGTACTCGACGTCGCAGCCCTTCCACCAGCCCATGTTGTCGGACTTCTTCAGCAGGTTGTCGCCCATCCAGCCAGAGATAGGCATTACAGGCGTACCCTTCTCGACGAAGTCCTTCTTCCACCCGACCTTGACCAGCATGCTCTTCATCTCGTTGGCGATCTCGTCGTAGCGGGACTGCTTGTATCCAGCAGTGTCGCAGTCCATCTTGTTGACGCCAATGCAGATCTGCTTCACGCCAAGCAGATTGATCAGGCGGGAGTGCTGGCGAGTCTGCCCCTGGATCTCGCCGGCCTTGTGGTTGCCCTTGGCGATGGCGGTCGTGAAGTTACCGTCGGCCGGGACCATGATGAGCGCAACGTCCGCCTGGGAAGCCCCCGTGATCATGTTCTTGATGAAGTCGCGATGGCCTGGGGCGTCGATGACGGTGTAGTGCCACTTCTCGGTGTAGAACTCCTTGGTGGTGCAAGCGATGGTCACGCCGCGCTCGCGCTCTTCCTTCTGGCGGTCCATGTAGAACGCGAAGGCGAAGGAGCCCTTGCCCAGGCGCTCGGCCTCCGCCTTCAGCTTCTCGAGCTCGCGCTCGGGCAGCCCGCCCAGCTCGAAGATGAGGCGGCCCGTGGTGGTGCTCTTGCCACTGTCGACGTGGCCGCAGATCACGATGGACAGGTGCTCCTTCTCGGAGTTGGCCGGCATGGCTGGCCGACTGAGTGCACCACTGCTCTCGACGGAGTGGGCCGAGATGCGCCCTTGGCCCGGCCTGACCAAAGCTAAGGATGTGCGCCAGACCGGCTGCGGACAGGATGATGACGATGGTGATGGTGATGGTGATGGCGATGATGGTGGTGGTGATGATGATAGTGGTGGTGATGATGATGATGATGGTGATGATGATGAAGGTGGTGTTCATGTTTTGATGATCATGATGATGATGATGCTGATGGTGGCAATGCTGATGATGACAGCTATGATGCGTATGATGATGACAGTTATCATGAAGCTAATGATGACAATGATAAATATGATGATGAGTATGATGATGATGATACGGGTGATGATGATACAGCTGATCGTAATGACACTGATGATGGTGATGATGATGCTGATGCTGATGTTGATAATGATAATGAGTATGATAAGGACAGTTGACGTACTGACAAGGAAATGATAATGCTAATGCTGCTGATGATGATAATGAGGATGGAGATGATGATCATGATGTCGAATGTGATGATCATGTTGATGATGCTGATGCTGATTGTGGTGCTGATTATGATGGTGGTGATGATGATGGTGATGATGATGGTGGCGGTGGTGATGGCGATGATGATGATCCTGTTGCTGATGATCATGATCATGATCATGATAATTGTGATGATGATGCTGATGATGACAATGATGATGATGGTAATGGTGCTGAATCTGATGATGAGTATGATGATGATACGGGTGATGGATGATGCTGATCGTGACCGACCGTACCTGAGGCGAGCCATTTCGCACGCATCGTCAGCCGCTTTAGATGTCAGTGGCGTGCTGTGCTGCTGCGAAGGCGGCTCGCTGTTGGCTTGGCGTGAGCTGGTCCCCATGGGTCACCGCAGCTTTCGCCTTATGGTAAGTATGGAATGCCAACACGGCCAAACGCAGCGCATCAGCGCGCGAGAACGTGCAGCTCTCACAATTGTATTCGTTGTCGGCCGCTAGGCCGAGGAAAGTCAGTGGGTTGGAGGGGAGGCCGACGAGGGAACGGAGGACGGGGCAAGAACAATAATGGGCAATGGAGTCAGTCTGGGCGCACCCAAAAAGGCAATTGACGATCCCACGCACGTGGATTCGATGGCTGGTAGTCCAGCCGCCTGCGAGGGTCTTAAGGATTGACCACTGCCATGCAGGTTTGAACTTCTTAGTCGTTGCAAGACAATCCCCCCGCCGCTCCGCCACCCCGCCCACGATGCCATCAGCAAGACCCCAAGCGTTCAGACGCTTGGAGATAGTGACTTCAAATTTATTGGGGAAGAGATTGAGGCGGAGGAAGGAGGAGATCGCACGCTGGAGCTTGGGCTTCTTGCCCACCGCTTGCGCCGCACGGGTTTCCATGCGGCCTGCTGCATGCGAGGCTCTCCACTGGACAATTGGGATGCCTCGGCGGGGTGGGCGATTCACTAAATCTGCGAAACGCTGGGCGATCCCCTGCTTTTGGATCCAGCAGGGGGCGCTCCACTCTCCTTTGATCCAGTCAACGACGGGGCAGGTCAGCGCCGCCGTTTCGCGCCACCTGTCGAGCTCTGCTGCCCAGTCAGTGATCGTGAGAGTGGAGCAGCGCCACATACTAGCCGCTCCTAGGATCAGGGCGGACTGTGGGGCCACTAAACCGTGCCCCGTGAAAGAGAAAACATCTGCTTTGCGAAACGTGCTGGGTGGAAGCCGAAGGACTTTGTGGATGGCAAATTTTTCCTTCAGGAGGGCTTCGCGATCCATCGGGAAAAGTTGGGCAAGGTAGCTTAAAGTAGATAATGCAGTACTGTTGTATAGCAGCAGACTGACACTGGTGGGGCTCTCGGATTTGGGAATGTCAAACGAACGAGCCCACCACTTGGCGACCGCCTCCTTCCACGCAAGCGCCTCCGACGCCCCAGGCCCAAACTGGACCCCAAGGTATTTGGTGTAGGAAGCGATCTTCATATTGGTCCATTGGGGGATCTGCTCGCGCAGGAATCCCCGAATTCGTGCTACGACTGCCTCTGAGAGCTCTGTCCAGAGAGGGGCGATGACAATTTTGGAAGCCTGGAGGCGGAGCTTAGCAAGCTCTTCTGCATCCTGAAAGACTGGGGCGACGCGGCATAGGTCCTCGAGTCTAGGTTGAGCAAGGCCTGCGTCGTCCGCACACCCACCCACCTCCCCGCGCCAGTCCCCCAGAGAAGGATCAGCGGTTTGCTCAACCAGACATCTCAGGATGGGGTCCATTGCTAGAGCCCAGACCGAGCCTGAAAGAGGGCACCCTTGCATGACTCCAGACTGCAGGTAAAAGAGAAACTGTTTGGATCCCTGGACAGAGGCGAAACTGCGGGGCCCAAAATACAGGGAGCCGATGAATTTCTGGTAGCCTTGCGGAAGGCCAGATCGAGCTAAAAATGCCCAGAGCCAATCGTACCCGAGGCTTGGGAAGGCTGCAGCTATGTCGGATGCGACAAACACTGGGGCATGTGCGTCTGCAGTTGGCTGTGCACTCATTCTACGCGCTGCGCTATCTAAACGAATAATATTCCCGACAAAATTGCGGCCAGGAACAAAACCTTGTTGGACGACATGGGTCCGAGATTGGACCAGGGCCTTGATTCTATGGCTGGCCGCTGAGGCCAAAATCTTGGAGTCCGAATTACGTAGCGACAGCGGTCTAATTTGAGAGGGCTTTCTGATACAGTCGTAAGCATCTAGGGGCCCAGAACCTTTGGGAAGCAGAGCGAACAGGGAATCGTTCAGATCCTCGGGAACGTAGTCACCTGCGAAGAGGTGCATCATCAGGCCGTGGAGGGTGTACAGTTGCTCTTCGGCTACCATCCATGCCCGATATAGTAACCTATCTGGACCTGGCGAAGAGTGACGAACACGTTTGAGGGTAGCCCTGAGGTCATCAACACTCGGGATCGGGATCGGGACCTCTGGGGCCGACGGGTAGACTCTGTCCAGGTGGGCCACGATTTTGTTTTTGTCGGCCGATTTGTAGCGGAAAACCTTCCCCCAGTAGGCAGCAGGAGCTTCATGAACTTCTGTGGGGCCTCGAACGACAGGGGCCTCGGGGTTCTCTAGAGAGTGTTCAGGACGGATACCTGCCAGCACCATCCTGCGGCCCTTCGGTTTCCAGAGGAAGGCCCTGCGGCGACCAGCACGCAGTTGACGAAAATGCGCTTCAACTGCAGGTTGGTCTCCAGCTCGTTGCGCCGCTTGTGCAGCTCGGGCAGCGCGTAACTGCATAGTCTCAAGTTCCGCATCGTGTAGTGAGCGGAAGAGGACGCGAAAGGTGTCCGCGTTCTGGAGTCTGGCACCACCCTCATCGATGTGGGGAAAGCGCTTGCCATCCTCGGTGGTTGATACCAGAAGGGCTGCTTGCTGTAGGTCCTGCTTCCACGCGGCTCTAGGAATACTGCGGAGAGTAACGTCGCGGCCACCTCGTGCACGTTTGTCGCCAGGTCGATATGGTAGCCGCTGAAGCTCATCTCGAAATTGACGAGCGGCCTCAAGCATGAGCTGTTTCATGTACGTCCACTTCAGCACAGGCGAGAACCTTTCCAGTCCACTCGCGTTGATGAGGCTGTCGAGTATGATCTTGTAACGCTCGTCCGTGAAGACCACATCTGGGATGCGCTGCGCCTCCTCTGGGATGTTCTGCTTGGCTCTGAAGGAGGCGTGGATGATGGAGTGGTCGCTCAAGCGTGACTGGGCCATCTCCACTGGGTCCATGGCAACGGAGAGGTGGATGTCCGTGGCGATCAGGTAATGCTCTGGTGTACTGACAAAAAGTCTATCGGTGGCCGATGCGGCGCAATGCTGTCTGCTGAAATATGTTGGCACCTCCGGGCGGATCTCCTGCATAGTGTCAAAGAGGGAACGCCAGAAAGCTTCTGCAGGTTGGCATGTACGAAGTGTCCGTAGCTGGGCCTGGTCAGGTATCGGGTGATCATATGACAACGGAACGCCCTCACGGATGTTGAAGTCACCTATCGCGATGAACGTTCGCTCAAGATGATTGCTGCTTGCCCATTGAATATTTTCCATCCATCTGCTGTTGATAACATTCTTGTCGTTCGGGGAAATGTTGTAGTTGTGAACATTCATGACGCGCATCTGGTAGCGTAGCTCGTGGTGCTTGATAGACAGCTACGCGACACTGCCTGGGACTAGTACTTCAAATTCGAGAGACGGTCTGGTATCTGCAGCACTCGCAGGCCACGGCACTAGGAATGCCACTCCACCTCGCCGTGCGTTGCCAGCGCGCTCAGCATCGGGTGATTCGGGTGAGCTCTGTGATGATTCTTCCGCCTGAGAGTGAAAGGCCTTGTACTTGTATGGGGAGGAGGCGACCATGACTTCAAGCTGTTGACGAACACCATGCGTCTCCTGGATCATGATGAGAGCGGATGCCTTCATGAACCTCTCCAGATTGCGCAGCTTGTTCTTGCGGCGGCGATTCTTGTAGCAGCACAGGCCACGAGCATTCCACGATACTACTTGGCCACCACTGTCTCTAGCTTGTTGTAGCCACGGGCTCCAGCGCGTGTTAAATAGACCACCGCGTCGTATCTGTGGCCTGGAAGAGCTGCTGAAACTGATCTGTGATAGTGGCCTTGTCGATACCCATCTGGTGGGCGACTGCGATGTTCCACCTGAGCTTTGTGGGTGCGTTGGCGCTGTCTCCAACCTCGAGAACCACAAGGGGAATTGAGCTGCAAGGGACGATACCTTCGTCTCCGACCCTTCTGAAGTGGTGATTGCCGTACTTGTCTGCCAGGAGTCTGACCAAGCTCTTTGTTTGTAGTTCTCGCCGAAGTGTTTTAGGAGACTTGTCCGCGTTGATGTACAGGGGAGTGAGCGCGCCTGTAGTGTTTGGAGCCGAGAAGTTACGCCACTGACCTCCTGCTCTGAGATTCCGCGCGAGTGAAAGACTGCGTGAAGTGGCTGCTTGTCCACCGAGGACTCTGAGGAAGAAACGCCGTGCGGGTACGTCGCCGACGAGCTCGATGTCGTTGGTGGAGACGCCAGCTGCATTGATCCAAGGTTCAAGAGCTCGCTTGACTTCTGCGGGTTGCATAGCCGATGGTGCGCCAATAGTGTAGAGGTGGGGATCTGGAGGTCGATCCCGAACTGCCAGAGCTGCCATGTCGAAGGCGGGTAAAGTAGCTTCCGCCATTGCCAATTGCGATTGAATCCGTTCCACATCTTGCCGCATCTGTAGTTGTTCCTGCTCCACTGTGTGTGTACGTTGGCTAAGTTCTCGGACTGAGGTGTCAAGGACGTCCATCCTGCGGCCATGCTGTCGCACATGTCCGAGGACGAGCTGAAGTTCGCCTTGAAGAGCTTGCTGAGCGTTGCGTATGATGGCCTCGGACTCGTTCTGGAGCCTGGCGGTGGCGGACTCGATCTGGGAGGAGAAGAGCTGGCTGAGGCGCTGCTCCAGCGAGCTGTCGTCGTGCACGAATCCATCTCCAGCTGGGGTAGGGATGCTGCCGAATGCCTCGCCCGCAACTGGAGTCGCTGGTACCACTCCTGCTGGTGTTCCAGTAGGCGTGCCGGGTGTTGTAGCCGCTTCTTCTGCAGCACGCATGTGGGAGGCCGCAGAAGCTGGTCCAGGTGGAGGCTGAGACCCTGTCCACGGGTCCTCTCGCTGTAGTGCATCTTCGCCTCTCGGGTCGGCTCTTGAACTGGTTGCTCTGGCTGCTGTCGCGGCCGACGGTCCTCCGCTGCGCGCTGCTCTGCGTGTGGGTGTGGTAGCTGTGGCTGTACCTGCTCGGCCCGCACGTGGGGGATGAGCTCGTTGTGTAGCCCCCTTCTCGTGTTCACGGTGGTCTTCACGTTCACGTTCAGCTCGTCGTCTGTCCCGATCTTGAGAAGGAGGACGCTCGGATCTATGCTTGTCACTTCGTTGACCTCTATCACTGCGGGAGTGGCTGCCGTCACCTCTGCCCTTGTCTCTGCGATCTCGTTCTCGTTCTTTGCGTGGCCGTCTGCGTCGATCTTTAGATGCTGAGGAGGAGCTGCTGCCGCTACTTTCACTGGATGCCATTGTGAAGTACTCTGCCGTTGTGGGAGGTGGAGCGAGACGCTATGCAGCGCGGGGTCGTTGAAGTCGTTGCTGGCTGCGGGCCGCTTCTCGCCAGCGACCTGGGGCGCGATATGGAAGCCGTCCCAGCTGATGCAGAGGTGGCTCTTCGTCAGGAGGTACTCGACCGACGGATGGAATATGGAGGCGCACACAGCAACAAATACTATGGCGAGGACACTTGGGCGGCCGCTAGCCCCTGATTGTGGCGGCAAGACAACTGGACGATCTGATGGGAGCCTACCCCGCTGAGGCAGTGGAATGGAAGCCATTTGGCCTTGAGCCATTTTAGCTCAAGCCATTTGGGCTCATGATGCTGATCGTGATGACACTGATGATGGTGATGACGACGCTGATGCTGCTACTGATGATGATACTGATCATGATTATGATCATGATGCTGATGAGGATGGTGATGCTGACAAAGACAATGAAAATGCGCATCACGCTGATGATGATCATGATGATGAAGATGCTGATCATGATGCTAAAGATGAAGACCATGATGATGATACTGATGCCGATGGTGGGAATCATTATCATCATGAGGATGATGATGATGATGATGATGCTGCTGATGCCGATGAAGACAATATGATGAGGACGGCACAGCACGCTACCGCACGCGGGCGGCAATGTTGCGCGTTCCGAGTCGTAGGCACAGCACGGCACGCACGACGAGTGAGCACGGCACGCCACGCGGGCGACACCTTCTTCTCCTTCCAAAGATCTGGGCACGGCACGATGCGGCACAACAGCACGGCACGCGGGCACGGCACCGCACGACACCCGGACGGCCACGGACAGGATGATGACGATGGTGATGATGACGGTGATGATAGTGGTGGTGATGATGATCGTGTTGGTGATGATGATGATGATGATGATGATGATGATGATGATGATGATGATGATGATGGTAATGATGATGAATATGATGAGGATGCTAATGATACGGCATGGCTGTCCAATGACTGCACCACTACCATTGCAGGAATGGGCCAAGACGCCCTGGGCCCCAACGGATGCAGGCAAATGTCTTGAGCCAAAACGGCTACGCACACAATGATGAGAATGATGATGATGACGATGATGACAATGCTGATGATTATGATGATGGTGATGATTATGATGATGATGAAGATGATGATGATGGTGATGGCAATGATGATGATGACAATGATGATGGCGACGACGACGATGATGTTGATGATGGTGCTGGTGATGGTGGTGGTGATGGTGATGATGACGATGACGACGATGAGGATGATACATTTGATGATGATGATGATGATGATGATGATGATGATGATGATGATAAGATGATGATAAGGCTGCTGCTGTTGATGATGATGGTGATGGTGATGATGGTAATGGTACTGGTGATGGTGTTGGTGATGATGATGACGATGATGGTGGTGATGGTGGTGACGATGGTGGTGATGGTGATGGTTGCGGTGGCGACGACGACGATGCTCGGGATGTTAATGGTGATGCTGATATTGACGGTGATGGTAATAAAGATGAGAAGTATGATGAAAGTAATGATGAGGATGAGCATGCCCATGGTGGTGCTGATGATGATGATGACAACGATGCTTGTGGTGGTGATGACGATGAGGATGACGATGATGATGGTGGTGATAATGATGAAGATCATGATGATGGTGATGACGAGGATGATGATGATGATGAAATTGATGATGATTGTAATAATGCTGATGATACTGATGAGGATTACGATGGTGATGCCGATGATACTGATACTGATGATGCTGATGATGATGATGATGATGGTGAGTTATGGTGAAGGTGGTGATGGTGATGATGATGATGGTGATGGTTATGCTGCTGGCGATGATGATGACGATGATGATGATGAGGATGATGCTTAGAGGAGCTGTGCAACAATAATAATATTGGAAGTTAAACGGGATGAAGAGAGAGTGCGGGGAGAAGAAGAATGAGGAGCAGGACGTGTAGGAGAAGAGAAAGAGGATGAGGACGACGACGAGGCTGACGAGGAGTGGGAGTAGCATGAGGAATCGAGTCAGCCAGGTCGAACGAGATTGCGGACCCGCCCATGCCAACCCTGTCTCCCATGACATAGAGTCAACTGTCACACAGCATGATAATGGGATTGGAACGAGCTTCCACATAACGAAGCAGACGTTCGCGCGCGGTCCAACTTCCGACCTGTTGCCGACGGGCCGACTACGCGGGCCGCGCAGAGGCGGGACCCGAACTCCAGGAAATCCTGGAGCGGCGCTGCGGCGGGAGCGACATGTTGCCCCCTCCTGGGCGGTCAAACGTCCGATGAGCACGGCAGAGACGAAGCCTGCCCGAGGTAGCACTGCCACGTGCACGCACGAACTGCAACAGGTCACCCGCTCGCGGGCGGCCCCGCCCCAGACGACTCGGCGAATCACGAATACGCGCGCCGCGGGGTCTGGCATGGACAACATCATACGGCTTGGACATTGCAAATGTACTCGAGGTCGATCGTACACTGTTGTTGACCCATTTCCCGAGAACCGCCTGGAATTCGAAACGCAAGGAACAGCGAGGCGTGGAGGCGACCCGTGTGCTCTGAGCGTCACCAGTCCGAGGCGAGGATCGGGCCCTCGAGGGCCTGAGCAAAACTCTGATCGCAAGCGGTCTCAAAGTGGGCGAGCTTTGACGCATTCGGGCAATTATGCTCACGGCTGCGCTGTCAGCCAAAGCTGGGTAAGATCCAGGAGAAAGGAACGGGGGTCTGGACAGACCCTAACAGGTCGAATCATGGACCCTGGGGATCAGTCGCGACGATGAGTGGGACACGACATGCGACAAGGGTATAGAAGCCCGCGAAAGCTGATATGGAAAACGGAAAAACGCTCCACATGTGGAATAGGCACATGAAGCGGAGGCCCTTAAGGGTAGCCGACACGGCGACAGATCCACGCTTGGAAGCACCAGGGCCAACGCATATCTACTTGTCTACGCTTGGGAGCACGAGGTGTCGGTGGTGGTGAGGACGAAGGGAAGAAGCGGTCTTCCTACCGGGGGAGGCTCAGAGAGAAATGTGGTTCCACTTAGGATGTCTGTCAACCTGCCTGCCCAGAGGGTCTCCTGGCCCTCCCTGGTGCAGCGCACCTGGTGATGGGCAAGTTTTCCACCACCACTGCCACAGGTCGGACGGGGGGGAAAGGGAGGCTGGGGATGTCCGCCTCCTCCTCCTCCTCGTCCTTCTCCTCCCTCTTCTCCTCCTCATCCCCCCTCCCAGATATGGTAATGGTGGTGGAACATCGGCCCATCACATGAGGTCTTGCTCAGGGATGCTGGGTGCCCGTGGAGGCGATGCTGGGCGGCCCTCCTGGGCCGTCCTGGAGCGCCTGGAAGAACCCCAGGGACGCGCCGGGGCGCCCAGGAAGCCTCGGGAGAGATGGCGGTGCACGCGAGTAATGTTCAGGGAGACGTAAGACCTGGGTACAGGGGACTCGGAAATCCCCGACGAGGTCGTCAAAAAAATGACGAGGCCGAGCCTGCATTTTGACGAGGCCTCCCGCTGCAGACATCCCGCGAAACTCCTCCTCGTCAAAATCCGAGTCGCGGTCGTCAAAAAACGATGGCGAACCCGAGTCCCGGCAAACCCGGGTCTTACGCTCCCCCGAAACGAGGGGGACCTTCTCAGATCCACAGAAACCTTTCCATGCAGAACTTGGAATTTGACCTAGCCTCAACGTGCCAGGGTGGGACGGGGGACGTCTTGACCTGCTCCATGCGCGGGGCCCAGAAGTCCCTACTCGTTCCCATGGACTGATCTGTCATCCAGTACCAAAAAGTTGTTGGTTGTCATGCCGGGGCCTGGGCACATCCCGCGGAGCCCGAAAGTGAAAACAGAGACCGCGGGATGAAGCAAGTCAGGACGTCAGAAGTCGCGCCCCCTCCCCACACGGGTCACCCAACTTCGCGCTTCGCGCCCCAGGGAGGCGCACTGCGCCATCAGCTTAACGCTCCCGCGCCGTCGCCCTGGAGTCCTGGAGGAGGACGGTAGAGGGAAACAATCACCATTCACTCTCCCTCCTCCCCAAACTCAAAGTTGGCACGAGCGGAGGAGACTGCGGTCGAAGTGCAACTCATCAGACCCACCGCCAGCTTTAACCATTTGGGGGAGGGGGAGGCGTTGACAGATCAATGTGGCATGGGTGCTCGCTATTTCTCAACCATCCTGTGGTGTTGGGTCCTCGTTTTGAAGAGACAGTGACCCGCGTTCCCTCCTTTCCTTCCTCCTCCCCCTCCTCCTTCCTCCTATCCCTGCTTCTGCCCTGCATGTGCCATAATATCATTACCATCATGCGCACCCGCATACGATTCGGCACACCTCTCAATCGTTTCGTGGCACCACAGAATGCTCCACCGAAGGACGCAGTGGCACGGCACGCATGGCGTACCCGCACCCGATTCGGCACACCCTTCACACGCTTCGTGGTCCCATAACGGTGCTCAATTGGAGGATCGAGGGGCAGGGTCCGTATGGCGTGCCCGCATCCGATTCAGCACACCCCTCACGCGCTTCGTGGTCCTGCATCGAACTCCACCGAAGGCCCCAGCGGCAGGGTCCGCAAGGCGCACCCGCACCCGATTCGGCACACCCTTCACACGCTTCGTGGCCCCATAGGGAGCTCCACCGAAAGCCACATCGACAGGGTCCGCATGGCGTACCAACGCCTGAATTGGCACACCCCTCACATGCTCCGAGGCCCCAGAGGGAGCTCCACCGAAGGCCCCGCACCCGCACCCGATTCAGCACAGCCCTCACACGCTTCGTGGTCCCAGAGGGAGCTCCACCGAAGGCCCCAGCGGCAAGGTCCGCGAGGCGTGCCCGCATCCGATCCGGCACACCCCTCACACGTGCTGTGGCCCAGAGGGAGCTCCACCGAAGGCCCCAGCGGCAGGGTCCGCAAGGCGCACCCGCACCCGATTCGGCACACCCTTCACACGCTTCGTGGCCCCAGAGGGAGCTCCACCGAAGGCCCCAGCAGCAGGGTCCGCAAGGCGTGCCCGCATCCGCTCTGGCTCACCCCCTCACACGCTTCGTGGCCCCAGGGGGAGCTCCACCGAAGGCCACAATGGCAGGGTCCGCAAGGGGCACCCGGCACATGTCAGCACACCCCTCACTCCTGCCCCACTGCTTCTCCTCACAGAGCTTCACACGGTTGCCCGTCGCCAGGAGAAGTTCTCCGAGGCCTGGATGGCTCCCCAGCCCAGGCCGCGAGGCGCGAGGATCTTTAGCGCCCCCGCAGTGGGACCCGACCCCACCGAAGAAACCCCGTACCCGCGCAGCCGCGAGAGCTGGCACGAAAGAGAGCGCGCTCCTGAGGTAGACGCTTCCTAGACCAAGACGACGCTAGGACGAGGACAACATCGGGAGAAGATGGATCGATAATCTCTGAGAACTCGTGGCTCTAGAGGATGTCTCGGGCGCCGCGACATGCTTTGACGAAGAACAGGCGCCATAAACATAAACGTGTGGCGCTCCGCGCGGGTTTCTTGGGTCTGCGCTGGACCCCCCTCCCTAGCGCGCGGAGCGCGCCAGGGGCGGCGCTGGAGGTGCCGCAGGGGGCCCAGCGCGGATCCCAGAAATCCGCGCGGAGCGCTTAAAGTTTATTTTCATCGCGTTTTTTCTCCGTCGACTTCTCATAAGCGTGCCGAACCGCTTTGAAACCCTCCCGGAACGCTCTGGAACGGATCTGTCCTCGTCCCAGTCCCGCCGCAAGTAGAGGCCTCCTAGATGGGGTCGGAGTAGATGGGGTCGGAGGACCGCGCCGCATCGCCGATACATCAGCGATACATCGGCTATGCATCGGCGATGTATCGGCGTTGAGGCGTCGACGTCGGCGATGTATCAACGACGTCGGCGTGGAGAAAATCGGGCTCCGCATCGAGCCGCATCGTCGATGCATCGGCAGGGGCGCGATCCTCCGACCCCATCTGCTCGGGCCCCATCCAGGAGGCCTAGAGTAAGGGGGCCTGCCCCCGAGACCGGCCTCGGCCTCGGGGAGGGTGGGGCCCCGAGGGCGCGAAGAGGGCGGACCAAGCTCCAGGGCCCCCGCTTCCGTCAGGGCCCTCCCTCTTCTCGGCGGTCCCCGGACGGGGCCCCGCAGCATGTAGGAGACCGATCTCTGACCACACCCACTTCCCGAGGTGCCTTGCGAAAAGCGGTTTCCAGAGGTGGAGGTGGGCAGTTCCCCCGCCCCAGGGGAAGGAAAAGCTACCCACTTCCACCCCCGAGGGCCTATCATAGAATCGAGGATCCAGAGGTGGATGTGATCAAATCGGTCTTCGAGCATGAGGCCCTGAGGATCGGACGCCGACCCCAAGCTGAGCCTCGACCGTCGGATGGCCGGGCCCCCCCTCGCCTTCTCAGGGCCCCCCATCTTTGCGCCGCCGCCCTCCACTGCGAGGTGGCCCGTTGGCCCTGGGGGGCGACGGCGGGGAGGCCGCGCGCGCGCGGGGCGGGGACCACCGCGATGGCGCGCGGCGGGATGCTGCACCACCTCTCGGCAGGGCGGGGCGGCCGCGGCCACGGCAGCGGCCGCGGCGGCCACGGCCGCGGGAACCCACGGAGGAGCGCCTGCGGTGGCAGGGATTCTGCTCGATTTGTGCACCATCGTCGCGCTACCTACCCAGGAGGCACGATGGTTAAACGGGGCGACAGGGCCTTCTTGGCCGCGGCAAACCTCGGCCACGAATGACTTCCCAAAATTAGATCTGAGGAGCGGCCCGAAGACCAGAGTCCCTCCTGAGCCCAGTGGGCCCTATTTCAGCGTCTTTGCTGTACTCCATCTTCCCTGGGTTGCTTGCCTCGAGGCTGCTCGTCCGTAGCCAGCTTGGCTCAAACACATGCGGTCCGAGTTCCCTCCGTGCCTTCGCGTGGCGCAGGGAGGGGGTCCGATTCCTACCGCGGCGTTGTCTTTGCAGCAACTGTCAGAGGGCGAGACTGGACGAATCTGCCAGCCCCCTTGTGGGGCCACCCGGCTGTAGGCCGAAGGTTCGCAAATCCCTGTACCAGTTACAGCTTCCGTTTTCCACTGTTACAATTCTGCTTCTTGCTGCTTACTGTTCCTTGTTGATGGACCGCGCGAGGGGGGGGAGACCCAAACGGGCATGCTTAGCACGCCCTGAGCGTGTTGTCTGAATTGCTGGGGTGGGTAAACATTGTCACCCCTCACGCAGATCGGTGGGGTCAGGGTCCGAAAACCCATGGGATTCTCAACATGTCTAAAATTTGGTGGCACCCCTCACGCGGATCCGTAGGGTCATGGTCAAAAAACATTAGCGACTTGCCACATGTCTACAATTTGCTGTCACCCCTCACGCAGATCGGTGGGGTCAGGGTCCGAAAACCCATGGGATTCTCAACATGTCTAAAATTTGGTGGCACCCCTCACGCGGATCCGTAGGGTCATGGTCAAACAACATTAGCGACTTGCCACATGTCTAAAATTTGCTGTCACCCCTCACGCAGATCGGCGGGGTCAGGGTCCAAAAACACATGGGATTCTCAACATGTCTGACATTCGGTGGCTCCGTAGGGTCATGGTCAAAAACATTAGGGACTTGCCACATTTCAAAAATTTGTTGGCACCCCTCACGCAGATCGGCGAGGTCAGGGTCCAAAAACACAGGGGATTTGCCACATGTCTGACATTCGGTGGCACCACTCACGCCAATCGGCGGGGTCAGGGCGCAACAACACATGGGATTTGCCACATTCCTGAAATTCGTTGGCACCCCTCACGCAGATCGGCGGGGTCAGGGTCCAAAAGCACAATGGATTTACCCACATGTCTGACATTCGGTGGCACACCTCACGCAGATCGGAGGGGTCAGGGTCCACAAACACATTGGATCTGCCACATTTCTGAAATTCGATGGCACCCCTCACGCAGATCGGTGGGGTCGGGGTCCGAAAACCCGTGGGATTCTCCACATTTCTGAAATTCGGTGGCACCCCTCACGCGGATCCGTAGGGTCACGGTCCAAAAACATTAGGGACTTGCTACATGTTTTTAAATTCGGTGGCGCCCCTCACGCAGATCGGCAGGGTCACGACGTCTTACCAATTGCCCGGTGTGGTAACCCCTCTGGTCATCTATTGGTTTTGCTCCTTACGAGTCGGCCTCGCATGAAGTTCCGAGACTGCTTCACGACAGCGCCCAGGCCTCATGACATAGCTCTTGCATAGCGCATTCTCCGAGAGAGGGGGGGGGCGGCGGCAGGAGGCGAAGCCCTTACGGAATTAGTGGAGCACTGCTTTCAAGTTGCTGAGTTTGGTCTGGGGTTGTGCATTGCGCTCGAGGGGTACCCATCTGGGCTGAAGCGCATGCCTGCATTTCCACGCCTCGTTCAATACCACATCACTTTTACAAAGCTCACCCGCATGGCGATACTCGTGCTTCGAGTCGGAGCAACCCGTGGTCAATGGATTGTCGCACCTTCATCTGCTCGAGGTGTGTCAGGTATGTGTTTGTCGTTCAACGTAGTACTCACGGGCGGAGGTAGTTCAGTTTCGGTTCACGCTCTGGAGACTTATCCCACGTGCGGAGATGCACCGTGGAACATGAGGTGCGTCCAAGTAGGTGAGAGGCTTTTCCTGAATCTTCAGCCAATGCTATTCCAAGTGGTGAGGCGTGACCTTTCACACTATCAATTGCTTGGTGGTGGCCTCCAGGTGTGCGTCGTGCTGCTTACAACAGTTCATGGTTGGGCCGCGATCTTTCACATTCGCTCTGCTCTGGAAGATTGTGTTT